CTAAGAGCCCAAGATCATCGACACACCGTCCACCGAACCCAGCCACAAATTTTCACGGCACCCTACCCCACCGATCCCACCATCCAGCGAACCACACTCATAGCGCACCCAACTAACCGCCACCAAAATTTGTACCCAATTCGCACCCAAACCACACATAAACCACCACCGCAAAATCGCATCCAAAAATCACACCCAAATCGCACCCCAATCGCCACCAAAAAATCGCACCACCAAATCGCCACCAAATTAAATAGCCACCAAATCGAACCCAAATTGCACCACTGAAATACACCACCAAATCGCAGGAGAGAGAAAGGAAGAGAAGAAGGAAAAAGAAAGAGAAAGGAAGAGAAGAAGGAAAGAGAAAGAGAAGGGAAGAGAGAAGCAAGAGAGTTGTGCGACAGCCGCACAAATTGTTTGGTGCGAGTGGACGCACCTAATAGTTTGCGATAATTTAATTTCAATAAGTATAACATCATGTAACATATGTTATTATACAAGGAAATAACGGTTACATTGATGCAGAAGATGTTGCGTGAGCAATTGTGACTTATCTAACTTTGATTGTACGGAGTATACTTTTATTACTAGTACTAGTTTGGTGCGTGCCCCGTGCGATGCTCGGGTTGTTTATTGAATTTTAAGATAAACTTTTTATTTATGTACCAAGTTTTAAAATATATCATTGATACAAAAATAGGTTGAAATTGATGTGATTTTGTGACAATCTAAATTATATAGTAGGCATGTAATGCCTAATAATAGTATTGGTGAAAATATTAGATTTAAAAAATTATACTTGTAGAAAAAGAAAAAAAAAAGTCATGCTTGAAATATTAGAAATTTCTTAAAATGCAAAAAAAGAAAAAAAAAAAAAAGTTCTAAACCTGTTGGCTTAACCTAAATTCAAAATTTTGGGCTAGTGTGGATATTTCTTGGCCCGTGAACTAAAGTGATTTGACCTAAAGTGACTTGACCAAAAATGACCTATGACCCGACTCGATTGTTGTATACGTGACGCGATGTTTGGTGAAAAGTTGAACCATCAAGTGTCGTTGTCTCGTGATCTGGCTAAACTTATAATTTTTTTTAATCTATGAAATATAGGTATTTTATCAGAAATGAAACTTTAAGCCAAAAATTTAATCCTATAAATCTCTCCATATTTATTGAAAATTCAACTCTAAACTAACTTTTTTTTATCCTACAAAATCTATCCTAGTTTTTGTCCTATTAAAAATACAACCTTTTAATTCATAAAAAATATATCCAAGTAAATCTTACGTGTCATACTAATATCTAATTGTTGCCTACATGACGAGACACTTGGTGAAAATTTGAAACGCCAAGTGTCGCAGTCTCGTAACTTGGGTAAAAGTTTAGCTTTATATATTAGTTATTATATGATTTTAGCTTAGATTTGGCTTGCACCTTACTATTATCATTCACTTGGAACTTTTTTTTTGAAACGTACAAATTATATGACTATACAATTCTTTTAGTGACATCTAAGACTTAATTAACATTTTGGATGAATTCTCTTTGTTATGATGTGATTTAGGTGAATAAGAGCAATCTTTGTGTATTAATTTTACAATTGATGGTTGAAGATAAAGCATGGGAACAAGGATGAGACAAAAAAGCTTTTACTAGGTAATTTAACAAAGTGCAATACTCAACTTCATTCAGCCATATATCCTTCTTTACAAGGAATTTTCAGGTGATTCAAGTTAGAGGTGAAAGTAGAGTTCAAGATCTTTCCAATGATAAGTCACATGCCAAATTTGAGCAAGAAACGAAGAAGTTATGAACTTTTGAAGTTGAGTTGTCCAGACAGTCGCGAGGAGCGCCCGATCCACTTATAAGGAGCGCTCGCTCCTATGGGCGTCACTAAAAGTTTTAGTAGTGAGGAGCACCCGCTTCCGGGATCTTGTTTCGAGCGGGCAACTTCTTTTCTTTTGTACTTCCTTTTGGTATCTTTTAACCTTAGCCTTTCATTTGTAATCCAAGGGTTGTAATTTAACAACTTTAGGGTTTGTTTGTAAAGTCTATAGGGCTAAGATTTCTTTTTGGAAAGAACTTTTGCTTAACTTTGAAATCATTGAGCTAGATTTTCTCTCTGTACCTATAATCTTTCTGATTATATGCTTTATTCTTTACGATTGCTACTTTGTAATCTTTGTGGTTACACCTTAATCATAGCTTTACTTTGCGTTATCTATGATTAAGAACTCCTATTTCATATATCTTGGTGATTGTTGAGATAGATTTATCTTGTTTTGTATAATACTTGTACAAAGTAAAAGATACATACTAATATTTTATATAGTAAAAGAAAATATGTGAATATTTTTTTAGGAAATGAATCACAATTATATGATTTGGGATATATATATTTTTTTTTGGGAAGTGAATCACAATTATATTATTTAGTGAGTATTTATACATATTTTATAGTAAGAAATTGATGTTTGCAAAAAAAAAAAAAAAAAAAAAGGGAAAAATAAGATTTGGAGGGAAAAAAACAGAACCGAGTAATGACACGTGTCGTTCTTGGTGTCTGTTTTAGTATCATGTTATTATTAATTGATGATTAGGTATTTTTTTTAAAAAAAATTAGATTTGTTTTAACATAGATACATATGTCAAAACGACTTTTGAGTTTTATTTTGGTATATACTTTAATAATTTCCACTTAAATTAAATCTTAAACACAAGCATTCAAATTTAACTTTTGAATTATGCTTCAAAAGGTCAATATGATGAGAGTAATTGCACGTGCCCATTCGAGTCACTAGATTAGGTTCAGTTAGCTAAGTTTTTACAACCCGACAACTAATGTAAAGATTGATATGAAGTAATAATGATATTGACTTATTCAGTCGCACAACATAAATGATAGTTTTTTACGATCCTAAAGTTATTTTTACTTTTCTGTTGTCAGTTTTCAAATTTATCATGATTCATGATAAATCATAAAGTTATTTTTACTTTTCTGTTGTCAGTTTTTTTCAATCGGAATTTTATTTTTACTTTTTTGTTGTCAGTTTTCAAATTTATCATTATTTTACAGTAAATTTTAAGAAATTGGAGGTAAATAGGAGGGAAAGGTAAAGGGTGGGGCCCACATGACGTCATATGGTGAAGAAGGTGATAACTTTTGAAGTTTTTGAAAATAGAAGGTGGTAATTTAAAAAAAAAAAAATACAAGGTGGTAATTGCTAAAATGGACATAATACAAGGTGGTAATTGTCAAAATTTCCTGATTTTAATTATGTTAATTCTTTACCTTTGGTATACATGTTAATGTTCCAACCACTAAGCTATTAGTAAGTTTGAGCAATATATTTCACTTTGTATTCTATTTAAATAAATTTTAACTAACTTATTTTAGAAAAGAAAATTTTGTAGGGCACTTGTCCTACAAGGACACACACAGGGCCGTAGCAATGATTTTGGAGGCCCTGTTCCAAATCGAAAAAGAGGCCCTTAATAATGTGAAAACTATGCAATTTTTTATCGAAAATTTAAGCAATTCACAATTTTCCTATATATACATTATAAAATGAAAATGTCCTAAAAAATGATATAACAATGAAATCAAACCATATGCAAAAGATGAAAAAATTACGGAGTAATAATTATAATAATAGTGTCACATGACACATATACAATAAATACAATTATACTAAGCCCATACAAACAATCAAGATTTTAACGGATAAACAATCTAACATTCTAAGTTTCTAACCTAGAGGTTTGTAAAAAAAAAAATAATAATAAAATAAAATAAAATAATAATAATAATAATAAAATTCTAACCCAAAGGACAAAGCAAAAAACAACCTATTAAGAATCTAAAATACAAGTTGCTAAATAAAAAATAAAAAATAAATTTTCAACCACCTATGAAATAATAGATTAATAAGAACGATGAACATGCATATATACAATATATACAATCCCGCAAAAGACATAGAAACCAGCAGGCCCATACAATGGGCAAAGAAGGAAATTAATTGCTTCAATTCGTTTTTAATTTGGTTGGTTGTGTTACTTGTGTATCAATTGAGAATTGGAGGAATTGATAATTGAAGAATGATGGAAGATAACCCACCGTTTGATTGCTCATTGCCATTGAATTTGACTGAGTATGATTTAATAACCTTGAAAATCCTTGAATGGAGAAATAGGAAATACAATTTTCCATGAAATTGATTGATGTAATAATGATAGTACTAATTTGAATTGATGGAGGAATTTGGAAAATTGTAAAAATTAATATGGAAATTTGAATAGTGAGGAAAATAATAAGCGTGATAAACAATGAGACTTTACATATATATATATATATTTTTTAAATATGAATAGGAAAAAAAGTGGGTCCTTTTAAATTTGGGGGCCCTGTGCAAGGGGGCACCTTGCACTTGCTCTTCTATGGGCTTGGACACACAGAGGTTGATTTTGCAAAACAAAAAACTAAAAAAAGAAAACTACACCAGGCACCAAACAGAGAATAATTAAGCAATTTACTGTGTTAGTTGTTTTACCTGAAAAGTTTAAGGTAGTGGCGATACCATGCTTGGTACAGACAAAAAAACGCGAAAAGAGCATGTAGTTGTTTTGTATGGAAAAAAACATCCAACTTTATGATTTTTTTTATTATTTATTTATTTTTTTTGTATATCTAAAGAACATCTGTAATATTAATAAAGAACATGATAATATTATGCAATGGACATTATTTATATATACCAATCATAATTTAAATACAAAATTTAAAGAACATTTCACAATAAGCAATGATCATTATGTCACAAATAAATGCATTATACTAACAATTTAATAACATATGCATATGTTTTTTTTTCACTCTTTTTTAGCGCAAATATATTTATTTCATTCTAGGTATATATTCATTATATTTTAACATTGTGTTATTTTCACTATAACTAATTATATGTTCATTATTCTCTTATAATGAGAGTGAGGAATAACTTAAATGGTTAGAGCTTCTCTCCCGATTTCAAGGAATCCTGAGATTGATTCGTTTTTTTCGTTGTTTGTTTTTTTTTTTTTTTTTTTTTTTACGGAACGATGTGCATGGTACAGATGCCTGTAATAACTAACCACACACTATGTTTTACCTCTAATCCTTTAATAAATGGTAGGAGTACAAAATTACGCCTTTTAATTACAACTAAATAAAACTTGTACTTGTTGAACAAAATCAAAAGGGATTACCAAAAACCCATAAATTATAAAACCCTGGGTTTAAAATTTGTCATCATCAAAAACAATGAGCGGAGTAAGCGGAGGTTTACGTCAATGGGGATTGCGCCACCACTTTCAATACTCTTCCACAACCACTCATCTCCGCCGCCATTTATACTCCTCCTTCTGCTCCTCCTCTACTTCTTCTTCATTTCCGAGAAGAGAGAAAAAACAAAAAGTTATTGTCATCTCCGGCCCCACCGGCGCCGGTAAATCTCGCCTCGCTTTCGAGCTTGCTAAGCGCATTAATGGTGAAATTATCACTGCTGACTCTGTTCAGGTTTTTTTTTTTTTTTTTTCTAACTCAATTTAATTGATTTTGTTTTTGCTAATTGTTGTTTTAATAAGTTTATTAACTAGAACATTTCAATTTCCTGGGCTTTGTTTATGAATATTAATGTTATTGTTCTTAATTTTGTGTTACTGTGTCATTTTAATATTGTGTGAGTGAAGTTATAATGCGAAATACATTACTTATCATATGGACTAAGCTCATTCCATTATTTTTATTATGTGATTTGTACTGTGATATTGTGATATGGTCGATATTCAACAAAGTTTAATAGAAGAATTTTATTCATTCAGTCTCAATTTGATAGGCCACATTTTGTTAGAGGTCAATTCATTTGACCTGTTATAACTAGTATTGATAATATAGAATTGTTGAGAACAAACATGGTATTATTATGGAAAAATTGGCCACAACACCCTAAAGTATGGCCTAGGCACTGAGCACCTTGAACTATGCGTAGTAGCCAAAACACCAACAACTATGGTGTTAGGTGTGACGTGTGCATTAAATGAAGATTTCCGGCCACTTATTTCTTTGGAGAAGGTGAATCCATGGGTGTGAAGGAGATGAAAGACTACATAACTATTCTAGAGAGTGAAGATTCACCTCTTCTTGGTATAATAAGTTGCCGAAAATTTTCATTTATGGCATGCATTGCACCTAATATCATAGTTGGTGGTGTTTTGGCTACTATGCAAAGTCAGGTTGCTGGTGCACCTAAGCCATACTTCAAGGTGTTGTGGCCAATTTTGTCGAGTATTATTTGTTTTTAAAGTAAGAGTTTTATGGGAAAATATATACTTTGTATGATTTAATTTGTATGCTATGAAAGGTTTGTATATCATTTTAAAAAAAAAAGTTAAGTGGGATGGACCAATGGAGAGAGTAGTATATGTTAATGTCTTTTGAAACGGAGGAAGTGCCACTTAAATTGATTATAGCTAATTATGCTTTACTACAAAATTTTCCGGATTTGAAATTTAGCTGTAGAGTTAATTGTCCCCAGTCACTCGCTCTCAGTATTTTTTCATTTTTGGTATTGCTACTTTCCTGAATATAAGGTGTTGTTTCGTTCACTTGGGAATTAGAACTTCCCATGAATTGTAAATTTATGGGAATTAAATTCCTACAATTAAATTCATGGGAATTTTATAAAATTGTTTGGCTAACAATGAGGGAAGTAACTTCCATGGGAATTTTCACTTACCTAGGGGGGTTAGGTAAGTAAGTTCCTACATTTTGTGGGAACTCAAAATTCCTAGGAAGTTCCACTTCCCCCATTTCACCAAATTATTGTCAACCAAACAACACACTAAAATTGCAATTTCTAGGAAGTCTCACTTCCCATGTTTTTTTATGTCAAACAAACAACCCCTAAGGATGGTATAATCATGTTCTTATTTCTGGAGGCAAGTTGCTCTGAGTTCCCTTATCTTATACTTTTGTTGCATATGACATCTTTTTGCTGTTGATCACTTTATGATGCGTTAATTTTAATTAGTTTTCTTCTGATGATTTTCTCCATTTTTCCCTTATTTTTGCATGATACAGGTCTATCAAGGTCTTGATGTTGGGTCTGCAAAACCTTCACCGAGTGAGCGAAAGGTGCCTTTGATTTGTTTGTTACAAACAAATTAGTTGTTGGCAATATTGACATGCTTTCATAAGATGATTTTGTGTTTAACATAATTAAGCAAATGTGTTAGAACATATTTTATCTTTATCACATAGTAGTTTTTGATTTTTTTTTTTTCGTCCTTGTCCTGATTAGGCATTGTAGGTCTGTAGGAACCCTTTGGTAAGCAGTTGATTTCGTTACTTCTTTCAACAGCCATTTTTCACTCTTTTTTTTAATCAATTTTGTTTAATTATTTTTCAGGAGGTACCTCACCATTTGTTGGACATGTTGCACCCAGCTGAAGGTAGAAATGAGAGCTACATACTATATCTGCTTAATGAGTTACTGCTAACCTAACCTAATGCAGAAGCCTGTAAAAGTGTAAATCAAATCAATTTTGACGAAAATCATTTTTTGTGAGGAACAAAACTTCTCTAAAATTTTGAGCTATTGGATGAATAGTCTTTTAACATGCATATGTGCCTACACTGGATAAAAATGAATCAAAGTGCATGTAATTAAGTATATGCAAATGATTGATCCTTCTGATTGTAAAATACAATGGCCAATTTATGTTGCTTTGTATCTTCATTTTAATTCTTGTACCTCCCATATTTGTAGAATATTCTGTTGGTCGATTTTATGATGATGCAAGGCAAGCAACAAGAGATGTCCTTAACAAGGGCCATGTTCCTATAATTACTGGAGGAACTGGTTTGTATTTGCGTTGGTATGTTTCTACAATTTCTATTTTTTGTTTGGATGAGCTTTAAAAGTTCATTTTGCATTAAGTTTTCAGTCACACAAAAGACAAGATGCATAGTATCTCATGGATCATATTAGCTATACTTGTTTTCTACAGTTGGGTAATGCATCGTGGAACCTTGAATGTGAACTATAAGTTTCCTCTATAGATATTGCATTCTCTAATATTATTTTAAGGTTTCAACCAAAGCTGAATGTGGTATTTGGTTCAGTTGAGCATACCCTGGGTAATTGTAAGAGGATGGGTTCATATAGAGATGTCACAAATTTTTTTTCAAATGCTAGGTTCATCTATGGCAAGCCTGATGTTCCAATAGCATCGCCCAATGTTACTTCCCAAGTGTATGCAGAGCTTGAAAATTATAAATATAATGGGGATTGGGATGCAGCTGTAAAGTTGGTGCTTGAAGCGGGAGATCCGAACGCCCCGTCTTTACCAACAAACAATTGGTATCGCCTACAGCGTAGCCTTGAGATTATTAAGGTTTAATATTTTCATTGTCATTTTATTATCTGACAATCAAAGTACTTTCTCTAATTTCATTTCCCTATATATTGTGATGCCAAGTGTGATTTGAGCCATAAAGAAGATAAACTAAGTTAGATAAATCACCTTTTCACTTGTTATAGATAAAGAATTAGAGTGAATCATACTGCAAGGTTTTGTTATTGACTTTATGGTGCGTTGTTCTTTTCTAAATTTTTTGAACCTTGAAAAAGCTATATTCTCCACTAATAATTTTTATGTTGTGTTAAATCATAACCTGGCTGATTAGGCCAAGCTGCCAGGCTAATTAGCCAGGTCATTGGCTGGATTAGCTAATTTTCTGGAAACATAGGAAAGTGCACATGTGTTAGGATCCAACCTCTTTAATCATGTATTTTGCTTTCTTATGTCTTTATCTAGCTTATGTTAAACTTTTAATGTATTCGTGTAAGTAGTTTAGGCGCTAGAGGAGATTATTGTGTTACTGTCATTTCAGTGTTCACTAGTATTTCTCCATGTAAGCAATATAAAGCTCTATATGGAGCGATGGTTGAATGAATGAAAAAGCTCCTATTCGGGTTGCCTTGCTTTAAGACTTGTGTGTTGATTTAAGCCTTTATAGATATTGTGCTTGCCTTGTTTTAAAGCTCCCCACCAAACCAAGAGACTCTCAAAGACGCCTACATCCTTGTCGGTTCCGCTTGTGCCCGCTTCGAAGTATCGGCCGTCACAAGCCCCGACCCTGCACTCGTTACTAACGATTGCCTCATTGAGATACCTTTGGTCCGTGTTGCTGTGTGCCCACGAACCTCTCTCACTAGGCTTGCGTTCTTGTTTCTAAAAGATAAGAGCGCGCCGCACGATCCGGTGTCAAACCACTCGGACCGTGACAACATGCCTTAACTAAGATCCTATGCTCTTAAAAATCCTCTATTTTCTATAATTCTCCTAACCTCTGAACTAAGTTACTAATTCTCTATCAATGTGTCTTCTGATAATATTCTGATTTCATTTAAGTTATATTGGAAGCCTTCCTGAGTATTTTAAGGATTGTCATGGTTTCATGTTGTAGGAAAAGGAGCATATAAACCTGCCTGATTACTCCAAGCTTTCTCCTATTTCCACTTTTTTATATTTCCTGTCCGTTTTTGGTAGGGTAGCTCTATACTAACTAAGCAGTTGATAAAAAAAAAAAAAAAAAAAAAAAAAAAAAAAAAAAAAAAAAATTATTAAATGAATGTTCTTTTACCTGGCAGTCTAGTGGATCGCCTCCATCAGCCTTCCAAATGCCATATGATTCCTACAAAGAGAAACTCAATTTAGCTGCAACGGATGATTGTCAAAACATGGATGGAATGCAAGGGGGGCAATTAAAAGAACTAGAATATGATTTCATTTGCTTTTTCCTTTCAGGCCCCCGACTAAATTTGTATAGATCAATTGATTTGCGATGTGAAGAGATGCTTTCAGGTATGGTTTTTCTTGTTTTTTTGTTATGTTCTTCATTACAAAACCAAGTAGCACAGTGTTAAATCAAATATTTTTATTCTACACTTTAGAGCATTACCTGTTCACAACCTCAATCCCCATTCGGCCACTCCTACCCACAAAAATAATAAATGGATGCATCTCAATGTTCCAAATAGTCTTGCAGGTGTATGCATATGTTGATAATCATAGTTTTCGTATGTGATTTATGTGTCATTTCAAGTTTTGTATGTGCTTTGACGTGACTATACTCTTTAGTTCCACTTGTAAGCTGTATACTGCATCTGATTGCAGGTAGTGATGGGATTCTAGCAGAGGCCAAATGGCTTCTAGACATAGGTCTTCTTCCCAATTCAAGTCCTGCTACCCGAGCAATTGGTTATCGACAGGTGTACTTTGAATTAGCTCTACCTACCAATATTATCCTGCATTTATCAGTTCTGATTATAGAGGCATAACTGCTCATGCGAATATGGGAGGTGCATGTTGATATGTGATAAATTATACTTCCTCCGTTCCCCTAATATCGCAACATGGGGAGGGAACAAGGATTTTAAGAAGAGGAGAGAGATAGAGAGGAATAAAGATACGGAGTAGGGATCCATGTGATGAGGAGAGAGAAAGAGTAAGAACAAATGCAAATAGGAAAATGTTGAATATTTGTGAAACTTCCTAAAATGGTAATTGTTGCTATATTTGTGAAGCGGAGGAAGTATTTACCTTCATTTATGATTTGCACTAATAGTCTAAATGAGGCACTTCTTGTGTATGCTTATCTCATCCAAGTTATTGAGACATACTTTGTACTTAGTAATTCTCAGTAATGTGTTCAAATGGGACATACTAGTTACAGCAGTAAATCTGTTTGCCGGCACAGATTTGTATAACCTCACCTTAAAATTAGGTTATGTCCTTAAACATGAATCATCTTCTCAAGAGTAAAAGGGGTGTTTGGAGCAATGAAAATTAACTGCTCAAAAAAGGAGTTCACAAAATTGGTAATTAGCAAAATCAGTTGAAAGGATTGGATGTATGACAACTCTAAGATTTTTGTTTGTGTACATTTTGCTCCATGTTGATTTTCTATGTAATAAAATTGAGACTCATCCTGTCAGCTATTATTCAGGGCATGGAGTATCTCTTGGAATGCAGAAAACAAGATGGTCAGAGCTCTGCAAAGGAATTTTTTTCCTTTCTTTTTGAATTTCAGAAGGTGTCCAGGTTTGTACAGAACCCCAGGATGGAAGATTGCTCCTTGCTATTTATATATTGATAAGTGATAACTGCCTTTATTGCATTTGGGGAGGATAAGGTTGTATCAGAATCAGAAAGGCTATTGTTTGAGTTGTAGAAAATCAAGGAATTAGAAAAATTTATGACAAAGAAGAAATTTCATAGTAGAAGTCGAAATAAATTCTGTTATGATAGAAGTTTATAAAAGAAAAGAATTCCGAAAAAAAAAATTAAAAATTGTATGCCAATGTTATAGAGATTAATATGAATGATAAAAATGAGGAAGATGAAAAGGCTAGATGATAGAATAATGAAATCTAAAGGAGAAGTCACTCCAAGTTCACCTATTAAAATAGCTAAGGACTCAGTATGTATAATTAGAACAATAACAAAGGGTTTAGAAAGATAAAAGCTGTGAAATTAATCTCAATGTTAAGTCATTGTATCAGTGTAATGAGGTTCTATCTACGGCTTGTAAGGATTACTCCCTCTGTCCCAAAATAAAGGTTCACTTAACTACTGATGCAGATATTATAGGTGCATGTGACTAGAACATTTTTCCTTTTTAACATATTTACCCCTGTCAAAGGCATATATTATTACTCCAATCAATCAGTTTTTCAAGGGCATATATAGAAATTCCTGTAGGCATAGCTTTATTGCCTTGAGATATAATTTTGAAGTTTTTTCAGAAACATCTCTGAAGTGCTTAATGTGGAACTTTATTTAGGTATGGCTGGAGTAACTTGTTGTGGTTTATAAATGTTTTTATAGCTCCACCGTGGCAACACCCTAGACTCTAAGTGGCCTCTGTCTCGTCCTGAACCAGCTATAAATTACTTAAAGTTTTATTTCTTTCCTTCACATTTTCTTACCTACTACCTATTAAGGATTTGCATCTCTGCCACCTGTTGTATTGGGGTGTGTAGGAAAAGGTGGACATTCTTACATAGTATTTCCTATGCCAAGTGCATTGTGTGATATCTTCTACTCAAATAAATGAAATAAGGAGTCTTCTTTGAATATATTCCATGCTCCAAGACCAATGTGGATATGTGCTTAACGCACTGTTTTAAACCCTTTTTTTTCATCTACTGAGGCATCCTAAGCTCGATCACAATCATAACAAATAGGGTTGTGGCCAAGCTGTTGATGGCAGAACAGTCTATCCTGTTTGAGCATCATAACATAAGTCCTTAACCCTTTATATCTATCTGTAATATATTCAAACATTGGAACAATGCCTTGTTCTTTAGATACTTGGCTTCTCTAGGCACTCTGTCTATGTAATTCCGAGTTTAGTAATTCAATGTATGACCATCTTTGTTTTGTTTTAAAAAAAGTTGCGTCTCTAACTAGTGGTCCAATACCATCTAATAAAATGAGCGATATTGAATGGCTGAATGAAATACAACTTTGCTAGTTTGTTATGTTTTGAGTGATTTTAAATTTTATTCTGGCTCCATAAAACCTCTTTAAACGACCTTTTGTTCCAAGTTAAATTATGACATTTGCATTTTGACGTAGACACTTTTACATAATTACATGGGAATGCTTTATTGATTCATCTCATCTACACAACATATAAGTCTGTTGTTTGCTTTTCTAATTTCTGTTTGCCTTGCTTTGCTACTTGTTGAACTAACTGGACTAAATGTCAGAACATTACATTTCAAATTATGAATTGAAAAACTCTGTATCACGGTGTTTACACTGCAATGCATCCCTATTTTTTATCTTATTTCAAATATTAACCAGAGAACGCCTTAAAAATATTCAGGAATTTTGCCAAAAGACAAATGATATGGTTCCGTAATGATCCTATTTATCATTGGCTTGATGCTTCTCAACCCTTGGTATGTCATCTATTACATGCGCACCATAATCTTTGATTGATTAGATACGTGAGTGTGTGCCATAAGCTTTATTACAAATATTCGTAATGCAGGAGAAGCTTCTGGACTTCATTCATGATGCGTATCATGATCAGAGTTCTACTTTAACTGTACCAGAATGGCTATGGATAAAGAAAGATGCACCCAACCGTCAAGAACAGAATGAATATAAAACTTATATGACGAAAAATAGGTACAATTTTTATAGCAAGAAAAATATTTATCATTAAATGCTTCTATGACTACTTAACTCTGTATTCTGTTTGTATTTGAAGCTATTTTGTTAAACCCGAAGATTGTGCTAATATTCTGGCATGGATAAGAACTGAAGGTAATATAGCAGGAACGCTTCCTACTAGCCGCTGCAGCACACTATAGAGGAATTATCATTTAGGAAGAATCATAGTGCCTTGCAAGAATTACTGTCAAGTGTTCGATTCCTGTCTCACGCTTGTGCCTCCCTGACTGATCTACCTAACAGAACATTTTTGTTTATACAATACGGCTACATCTGTTCGCGCTACAAAGCTTTGATGAGTGTTTATTTTTCCCACTCTTTCTGTCTTTCACCTATTCCGGTGAAAATCAGTAACACAAGCAATTGAATGTCGTCATGTACTCTTAATCCCTTTATACCATTTTTTTTGTTCATTTTAGTTATGTAATAAAATACTACGTATGTAGGTTTTTACAAAATTTGCAAAATTGCCTAAATAAACAACCGAATTCCTTCTATATGGCTTTCTAAATTAAACGTGATGCAGCTTCACTTTCATTAAAACAATTTGACCACACTTGTATTTTATTAACATTGAAGATATGCGCAAAATACATATTCATCTTCATGATGAACATGTATTGTTCATCACGAGGGTAAATGCGTTATATCCATCCCGCGTGGAAGCCAACAGAGTGACACGGGACCAAGTGACATGTTATTGTTGACACGTAAACAACACACTTATATTCACGGCGTTAGCTTAGAGATAAACGGCAGGTAGTTGCTGTAATCAATAATGTACTTTTGTGGGTCCCATTAAAATTGTACAGATAATATTTTTGAAAATGAAAAATCGAGTAAAATAGCGGCGAATTTAAATTTATCTCCGAGAGAAACGACTTTTGTTTATCTTGAGGTTAAAAATGTCTTTTTGCAACAACTTGCTACTTCACGGTTCTTAGTCGTTAGTTTCCAGTCAAATGTTTGACTAACGACTTTGTAAACAACCGTTAACCCAAACCCTAGAACCAATTCCTGGGAAGAGAGTGAATGTTGCTCATGCTAGTGACAGAATTGAGGAAGAGAATTCATCGCGAAGCGATTATTCCATTTAGGGGCACATGCAGGGAAGCCTACTCAACTCACTAACCGTTCGAGCAATTTCAAGCCGATATAGCTAATGTGGATTTGTGATTGAGTTAAAGAAATTGTTGAGTTGCATAATTATTGTTTGCGAAATCAATTGAATGAATATAACCCTTTTGGTGAATAGAATTAGCCCTAGAATAACTAATAGTTATTAATTAATTGTTGTTTGCGAAATTGAATCCAGTTATTACCCAATTGTTGTTTGCCAATTAATCTGTTATGGTTATTGCTGAGATGTTTGCGAAATCAATTGGATATGTGTTTGTGAAAAATTATTGTGTAATACTAATTGATTTAAATTATGAAGCTGCATACCTTCTGGAATAGCAAATCCATTATAAAGTGTTGTCAATTATAAGTTGATATGTACTGTGATCTTGTTTAAGTAAAAATAAAGAATTATGTCTATAATTACTATATGGAATTCAGTTTGAACATATGGATTTTGGTTGTTTATGTAGCCAAAGCTTGCTTATATTATCTGTCTTGATCGTTTGGAGTGTGGTGTGCAATTTTTTGGTGGTGGGGAACAACTTCAATGGTAAATGAGTTGTCTTTATTGTCATTGTTATTTTTTCATCCTATGGGTTAATCCTGATGATCAAGTGGCAATATTGTGTGTTGATTGAAAGCTGTGATTTTGTGATGGATACAGGCTAAGAATCGAAATTCAAGTTCTGAAATAAAAGTTCTATCAACTCAACTGTTTTTGGTATGAAATTTCATAGGGTGTATTGCTTTATATTTTCTAGAGCATTTTTTGTAGTGAGTTTGAAACTGAACTGCTGTATTTGGTTTTGAAGGATGATAGTGTTAGTGTTGGTGGCAGAGTAAAGGCAAAGGGCGAGGTCATCAAGCAACAAGTGGAAGTGTTTGGTCGGGTATGTCATGTATTCAATGTCTTCAAAAGTAAATATAATTCCTGAATTGTTGTTTATTTCTCTTATGTGGGACCTGTAATTTGCAGCCACCTAATATGAAATGTCGTATTGAGACATTTTCCAGAATATGCCACACATTTGATGAGAGGAGAACCCGTTGGGTTAACGAAATGGGTTTTGGTGGGTTGTTGAATATTCCAATGGACATGCACTTACCTCGGCAGTTGGGGTATTGGTTAATGAGTCGTATTGATCCTTTGGTTATCGGCTTGCATATAATCAAAATATGCCATCATGGCTTGTGCATCTCCACCTGCCATCTTCAATCTCCTTTGCTTATACACCTCGTGTTGAAGATCCTTCACGCTAGGCAATCGTATGTTCTCAAGCCCTAAACAACCACGAATTTGAGTAACCGTTACACCTTGCTCAAAAAAATTCACCAACCTCCTTCGAACTGTTGATGTCAATTTCTTCATCCGATACTCTTTAACCAAATTTTCCATGGTAGGGGACAGATCGTGAGTATGCTCCAAGACTACAGTTCTCAAAACTCATAAACCATCACTGTTCATACTCCCATAAACCCTAGCTAGGCACTCACATTTTTTAGATTTACGTTTTCCTTGATCAAGCTCTGTCTCACCAATAAGACCCTTCACATTTGCTCCGCTTCCCTAACTTCCATGAACTTAGCCCTTTTCTTTGCATCACGCTTTGCCCTCATATCCGGTGACTCTCAACATTCACACCTCCAAGTTATTGCTCTCCTCACTTTTGTAGTAGTGTATGATCCTTGCACCCTACTCACCCCAAATCCACACTGCTCCGCGTAAGTTTTGTAGTACAACTCAATTTCCTCCCACCGTTTAAATAGCATTCCCTCTTTAGGAGGGTCAACACTTGCATCCACAATCTCCTCAGTACTGGAAATAAGGGTTTGCAATGACTTCACCGTATGCGTTGGGGAATGGGATTGGGGTGAATTCCTAGTTTTGTCATTGAAACAAGAAGGGAGTGTGTTATTTTCTTTGGTGTGAGACAAGGTAATGTTCTCCAAAAACACTGCACTCATAGCTTCTGCTCCCTCTTGCTGATTGTCATCTACACCAATCTCCAACAGCGTACCAACCTCGTGTTCAATTTCAACTACACCTATGTCCAACAAGGGACCAACCTCTTGTTCAGTTTCCCCTACGACACACTCCATCAAGGTACCAATCTCTTCACAGTTCCCTCCTAAAGGAACTACTCCATCTTCTTCCATTTCAGACATGAGATCAAGCACCTACTAGCATATATATATATATATATAAAAAAAAAAAAAAAAAAAAACATAATGTATCCACTCAGAAAATGCAGAGTACATGCATAAGAGATAATGTCAGTGATGGGGCTTAACAGTTTTAGCCAACTACACTTCAACAAACAACAATCACAATTACTAATCAGTTGTTTCATACCAACAAAACTAGAAACCAATTAGAACAAAATTCGTTTCATAACAACAAAAATAGAAACCAATTAGAACAGAAATCGTATCATAACAACAGTACTACAATCCAATTAGAACAGAATTAGCAAATATTACAATCATGACAAACAACCTTCAGCCAGATCTACATACAGAGCGAAACCATGACATTTCCATTACAGTAATTTGGGGGAAATGCAATTCTAAAAGTATGTTGGGGATTGGGGGTCAAGTAGCGTCTAAACTCCGTCAATTTTAAAGCTAACACCGTGACTTAACCCAAATTTGGGCCCACTTTTAATACAGAGTTTTTTTATTGAATAAATGCCTAGGTGGCACTGAAAAGTGCATGAGATAAACAAAAACCATTTCTCTCGGAGATAAATGGGGGCTCGCCCGTAAAATAGTTATTCCCCAAATCTCAAACGAAGAATCCCGTAGTTGCCGGAAATATTATGCAAGTTTGTCAATCAATCGTAGCTATATATACTACAATTTTTGAAAGGTGATTTTTGATTGAACCACGAAGAACGTTCCTATCTCCGGTGCAGTTATCATTTGACGCTGTGATAAAATCGATGTAAGTGCTAATATGTTTTTTGATTTGTTTCATTTAATCAATTGAAACTGGGATGATTAGAGTCTCACATTAGTGGAATCTGTAAAATATCGAAAACGTGATAGTGATAAAGATATTGAGTAGCAGTAAGCGTATGTAGATTTGGAATGTTTGTGCATCTGATACTGTTTGATGGGTCTGCAGTTCAGTTATATAAATTATAAGGAATTTGTTGAACAAGCAAAACTGACAAAGGTACGCTGTGTAATTTGAAAAGTGAATGCGAGTAATTGAGAATGTCCTCCGTGGTATTGTGTGAATGGATTTATGGAGAGGGTTGTATGTTAATTGAAACGATTGTTACAGTTACCATATGGTGGTGGTATTAAAAAGGTTATAGATTTGCACCCGGCCTTATTTAAGGTATGTTAGTGCTTATGTTTTGTGAGCAGTTGGTGTTGAACAGAGTAAACTATGTCTTATTTGCTCTTAACAATTCATAATAATGGTAGGACAATACATTGAGCAAGGGTGGTGAAGTGAAGGGTAGAGGGCAAGTTGTGAGAGAGCATGCAAGATCAATTAGTAGAGTAAGTGTTCAGTTTTTTGTGGTTTTCAGTTCAGTGTGCATGTTTTATTAAGTTGGTTGGAAAAAATCTGTTGTTTGATATGTTGATGCTATGCTAGACAGTATTGAAAGGTTTGGTATATATACATTGGCGTGATTTTATACATTGTTTTTGAATCCACCCAATATGAATTGTCACATTCAGTCATTTGGTCGCATTTGTAAGAAATTTGATGTTAGAAGAACAAAATGGGTGAATGAGATGGGTTTTGGAGGAATTCTCCATTTAGTATCTTACTTGCATTTACCTAGGCAGTTAGCATATTGGGTTATGACCAGAATCGATCCATTGAACCGAATTTTGGTTGCTCCTAATGGGCGTGAGTTTCCAATGTCTAAGAATCAAGTAAGGTGGGTTTTAGGAACACCAGCTGGTATAAAGTCAGTACCAAATACGAAAACAATGACTAGTGAAGTTCGTGAGAAGGTTCATAATGTGATAATGAAGTATGGGAGTTCATGGAAAACTAAATCTAGTCGGGGTTGTGGCAGTGTGTATACTTCTATAGGTATACCTGTAACAACGGAGATGATGGATCGATTGGAGGGAAGACGTATGTATCTCATGATAGTATGAAATCTATAACAGATTTTGATATGGAACCAATTGAGGTAACGACGTGATTGACATACCTCCTGAAATAGGTGTGATTATACGGTCTTACTGGGTTTGTTAGTCTTCAAGCCCAATTTATAGTGGGCCTTGGTAGATGAACATAAATCTAATAATAAATGTAAGTACACAGGGTGATATGTGATGGTCCGAAATCGAATTAAAGCCTGATATAATGGGGTTAATGTAAGATACATGTTAGTCTTATCCATGTACCCATTTAAATTCTTCCTTTCGGCTGTTCAAAGGCTCATAAACTGAAAAATTGGAGTTTGTCTTGGTAACATGTTCCATTCCGGTAACAATCAATCCAGAAATTATGGGTGGTTACCCAATGTTGTCACTGCACTAGTAGCAATAGTAATACAGCTAACCTAGTCCTTAATTAATGTTGTCATTTTAAAGCTGTTACAAGGAGTACAAGGAGTACGTTAACATAAAAAGGCTTAATAGGTTATATAATTAAATTGTTGATTGGGGGAGTAAACAGTTTTGTGGGGATTCCAATACAATATTGTTCAATTGTACGACAAGTAGGTGTTAATAACCAAGAGAGTAGATATTGTTATTTAAAGTAAAATGATTAAAAATTGCAAAAATCTAAAATGGAAGTTAGATAATACATGAGATTTAATTGTCTGTCTAAAATGGAAGAACTAAAATCCACGAGTTTAGAAAGAAGGCCTGCAAGTAGTTGCTTTAGAGTTGTCTGGGCTGGACCACGGTAAAGGGCTGTAATGGGAATGGCCAGAACTAATCTTATGGACTTTAATGTACAATATATACAGTTTTCACGGATTGTTTGGTCTTAGTATAATCCCCAACAGCAGTAACAAGGGGTGGTTATTGGACAGGGTAGCCCAATGATAATAGGGTCAGGGCCAAGCTTATAGGGCTTTTAAGGGATAGGGCTATTAATGGACCAGCGCCCTTATTGGGTAGGGGTCAATATAGGGCCAACATGTGTTTTCCAATTTAGTTGATAAAGAAAATACATAACGTAAAAATAATTATATAGATTAATTTGTATTCATATGTATCTAATAAAGGCTTTGTCCAATATTTACTGTAATTGATATTTTGTAGGCCCGCTCATTATCGACCCGTGGCCCGTAATGTCCCGACCCTATATTGCCCATTTAAAATGTGACCCTCTTTGACCCTGGCCCGCAACCGACCCGCACCGACACTGACCCGATCCGCCCAATAACCAGGTCTAGCAGAGTAGCAGTAACCATTGTTAAGAATAAGACATGTCGGGACGAATATGTAATAAAAGTTCATTTGAACTACTATATGTATGTAGGTTGTTTATGAAATTACAAATCTATTGAATCTATTGATAAGAGCAAGTACCTGTGTTGTACTAACTTTGAAGTTATATATGTATGTACATTGTTTATGATATTACAAATCTACTAAAATTAAGAACTTAACTATTTAGAATTGAACTTTATCTAGATTGTATGAAAAATCAAATCGAAATTCGACTGAATCGAGGATTAACCTGAACAACAAATTGCTAATAATCTGAACTATTATGAACTGAACTGAAATGACGTAATAAGACAGAACACATGCACATGACCCCCATGAAAACTTTGATTAAAAAAATAATTGCAGTATATGGAAGTGAAATGGTTTATCACGAGTACTAGCTTCTTTGATTAATGGAATGAAAAAAAAAAACCTCGTGCGTTACATTTTACTAGGGCATTTTGCTGTGTGTTTGTTATATTCAAAACATAAACCTTTGGAGTATTTCTGTTACGAGACAAATCTAACAATATCCCACATCTGTATATATTGGCACTTATTAGGTCAATGACATTATTGGTTATATTCGCACTTATTGGGTTAATGACATTATTGTTTACAATGGTATTTACGGAAGTGTCATGCTAATTGTGATGTTAAATTTATTTATATACAGAAATACCACTAGATAAAATATGTTGAAATGGTTGAAATAAATAACCTAAGTTGAAATAAATTATCTATGTTGCAATGGTTGAATGATTGAAACTTCTTATAAAAGGAGGTTTGGAAGGTTTATAAGTTTGATTAAATTACATGATGTGAAGTGTACATTGATTTGGACATTACATTGATTTGGTAGATCTCCTAATGTATGCTATAGTGTGAATGATGTTTACAATGGTTGTGGTAGATTAGATGGTGGTGCTTGTAATGCTATGATCGAATACTATTGCTACCATATATTCATAAGTTGTGTTGTAATTATCAATATATTCATAGATGGATAACAATCATATTATGTGGTCAAACAAAATGGGTTTTATTGAATTTGAAACCCTGTAATACAAAATTGTTGTTGTATTTACTAATTGAAAAAGTTATTAATTAATGCATAATCCATACTGATGATAATGTGTAATTACTAAACATGGATTACCATTTTTTGCAGTTGAGGATTTGTCGTAATGAATGTGTGAAATATTTTGTATTATGTGCTCGAGAGTAATTTGTAATTTGTAGTGTGATTAAACGAGTTTCAAATCAATTCAAGTAGTGACAGATGCAAAGTACATGTAATGCCTCCACTCTACATGTAATGCCTAGATAATCCACTACAAGCTTATGTGCTCACGTATTTGCAAGTTAAATTACTAATTGATCAACATTAGGTAATGATAAACACAACCTTCTCAAATAACGTATTAGGGATATATATTCGACCTCGTCATTATATTCATCAAATGGGATACATCTTATCACCCATCCACCTAATAAATGTGCATGCATGACTACCTCTATATATAAGCGTTTCACCACATGTTAGCTAGCCACATACTTCCCCTTCACTTGTCTGTGGTATTCTACACTTAAGCGACATGCCTCGCCGTGCTATAACCCCATGCCACACTCCGTCATTGTTGTTATTTGATCCTCCAACGGGATTGGATTCCGAAATGGATTTCACCCAATTTGAGTACTTGTTTGTTGGTGACGATGGTGAAGTGTTAGCAACTCTATTTGAAGATACTAATTCTGCCCTTATTTTACACCCAAACAACACAGACAACGACTTGTTCAACTCCTTGTTCATGCGGGAGATTGGATCCGTAGACGTACCTCGACCTGCTCATTTTCTAAACATACACGACAACCACCCAATTCGTCATGAATTCGAAGTATTTTTGCTGTGGTGCCTAGGATCTTTACCCCCTTCTACCTTCAATCCCACAAATATGAAGCCTGCCATGCACATTCTCGAACCTAAACCCGTAATTAACTTTGATTGTCCCGTTTGGCCCTTAGACTTAGTTTCCATGTGCTTGTGTATTGGGGCATTCACAGACACATTCCAGGTTTGTAATGTACCACCAACTCCTCATATCTTACACATGAGGGTTATTTACAAAAAAAAACAACCTGAAAATGTCCCTGGATATCATATGGTTGATTTCACTCCATATGATGCTCCTGATGCAGAGCACGTTATATCGGGTTACTTTGCCACCATTCCGCTTCATACAGTTGTTTGCACTTGGAATGTAAGGGGAATTGGAAGGCCATCGCTTGTTACCAATTTTGAGGCCATGTATAAGAAGCACAAGCCTATGATAGTGGTATTGCTTGAAACTAGGCACGGATACGAAACAGTTAGGAAGCTTGTTAAGTTACTTCCCGGGAATTATTCTTTTGGCTTATCCACCCCCCAAGATGGATTATGTGGGGGGGGGGGGGTTGTGTACATGTGGACTGATAAGTTTATTGGAGTAGAACCAAAAGGTGTTTACGACTCTTCTGCTAGGGTTGATGTGTACTTTAAGGTAACAAACTCACTTGGTGTAGGTCCATTAGCACTAATTAATATTTTTTATGTTAAAACAGTATTAATATGAATTATGTCGTTTTGCAGGGCCATCCTAATGCACGACGCTGTCTATTCTAAGCGGCTACGATGTATTTTAGGGGTTCCAATTACTGATGGAATTAGATGTTTGTCCAAGATGTTATGTCACACATAAGCATATGTCGTTAACATATAATAATTGTCATGTTGTATTGTTATAAGCTATCTCTTTTCCCTTGGTTCATATCCGTAAGAAGTGTTAGTATTTGTAATTGGAACGAGTGATTTCAAGAAAATATATGTTTATGTTTACAACATTGAATCACCACACAAAGGTTTTACTATTATTCAAATATATTAGTACAACTGAGGAGTTTTACATAATTGTCCTTATTATTACTTGGGAACAACCACACAAACAAGAAATACAATCCAGGTCACAAACATATTAACGGGTGCATTTGTGGTTCGGCTAGACATGGCAACTATTTGTGCACACAATTCATTATTCATCCTACTCAATTTGAATAATTCAGGCTTAACTGTTGGAATCCCGTCCAAAAATTCTGTACTTTCATACAATGCATTAAGGGTGAACATCTCTGAATGGTGAACCACTATGGTGAGACGCATGTTCTTCTCCTTCATCCCCTTTGAAAAAGCCGCAAACCTTATTTTGATTCTGAGTTAAACAATTGACGTGTTAGTTAATCGTGTAGGATATGTACAATTAAAATGTAAAAATAGCTTTTATATGTTAAACACCAATGTTCAAGGCAATTTGGTCCTTGCCATTATTTATAAAGACAGTGTTTCTATGGTTTGGTTTAATCTTAATTAGTAAAGGTTAGGAATTGTTAAGCTTTTGTATTGTGAAAGAAATATTTTACTAAACTCTTTGTCCATTTAATTGTACATGCTCGGTATAGGTCTTGAATTCAGTAGCAATTATATCGATTCCAAATAGTGTTGTGTCACAGTTCCAAAAAAAAGGTTATTTACAATATAGTGAACCTTTTTACGCACTAATTATAATATAATTGAGAACCTTATTTTCCAGAATTAAAAAGGTTTTGTATTTTTCACATATTGGAAGCACAGTTACAATACCAGAAGTGCCCCTAATTCAGTAGAAATCACATTTTAAAGCACATACTTAAATTTTCAAGCACGTTAAAAGGAGTTTTGATTAATAGTTGTTTTCCGAGTTGTGCTACCATAACACGTTAAAAGGAGTTTTGATTAATTTGTCAAAAACTGATATGATAGATGCAACGGTCGTGAGGATAAAACAGAATGGATCGCAACCGTACATGTGTATCAATTAACGTGTCAATATTCTATCCATATGATGCTCTACTGGTGTGGAGAAGGGTGTTATTGTTGAGTAAGGAAATGCATTGAATTTGTGTTACTGTTGGAACTGATATGTGAAGGTTATATGACTCCTTTCATTGAATGAATCATTAAAAGTTTATTAATTACTTAGTAAAGGCTAACAATTCCGGAGCTATGAATGGGATAAAATGCATGACCATGGGCGTATCACTGGTGAATTGTCTTATATTAACAAAAACGAAGAATTTGAAGAAAACGTCGGAAACTATTGTTGTTTAAGGTAAATAATTGAGCTACTCAGATGTATAATAACTTTAGTGTATTTTAATGAAGTGTATATACCTAATCAAGTAGGCCCATTGGCTAAGTGGGCCCATTATCTTCGTCAATGATAATAAGAACAAGTTCATATTTGTGAACCTGTACGTACCATATGCACTTAGTACTTGTGGCTTGAACTTTGTTGTTATAGTATTTTCCAATTCCACAATATTCTTGTTTAAAGAAACCGTTAATAATTACGGGATGGTCTTTGAGCAAATTTTTCCACCTCGTATTATTCGTTAAGCGATATTAGTTTATATGTCCCAAAGATTGATCCATATCAATTTCATAATCAATCATAAATCAAAATTGTGTTAAAGTAGTGGTGAAATACTAACATATGCGACGTTGTATATTTTTTCAAAGATACCTGTGGTTTATGGCTGTATCATATTCAATGTATTGTGGTGTAAATAGCTATCCAATCAACTGTTCATGAGGTATTTAAAAAGGGCGCTTTTTCTTAACTAGTATCGAACCACCATTTCTCATTTTGATAGCTTTGTATATTTTTTAAAATGTTATGTGACACGTACCGGTATCGATGCATGGAGTTCGAAAATACCTTTGCATGAAGTTGTAACAATTTGAATATTAAACCTTTGTTGAGTGTAATTAGACGTAAATTGAATATTAAACTAGTTACACTCTGATCCGAGTGTAATTAACATTTTGCTAAATGGTCATAAAATGACGCGTAGTGTAGATTATAATAAATTGTTAAGGTAGTTTTGTAGTGGTTCTACAATTTTGAACAAGTGTGTAATAAATATATTTTAGTTAGTTGGAGCGAAAGCACTATAAAAGGCTTTGACAAAGAACATTTAATGTGATTTCCATCTAACTCTTTCAGAGAGTAAAATTTATGGCCCTTCAACCACATTTGTACACCCAACTCTTTTTTTCAAATAAACCTTTTTTATTAATTCCGAGTAATATTTGATAAATTAAATTCATTATAATGGATTGTGTATTTATTTTCTCATTCAACAAAACGTACTACAATTTAACATTGCCAAATTGTACACAAACGTGAGTGACTGGATGTTTAAATAAAATGGCTATTTATAAACAAATATTTACCATAATGACATATATGAAACGTTATTTATCGAACGAACTAATTTATTAAATTTGAAGTATTATATTTCATTCGTATGTTCCTTTGGACCACACATTGGAAAAATTCGATCCCATAAATGTTAATATGTCGTTTCCTTCACCATTAAGATTCAAGAAAATACATATCCAATCATACTCGTTGTTTAAAATAATTACACATATACAACTGTAACTCTTAACAATGACTTAAATATATGCCAGATACATAACTGGAATGTTGTGGTCGTATTGAAAATAATTGTTTAAGAAACTTTACACTTAACCAAATTTATATTGAAAAAAATTCAATACGGTGAACCCACCGTTTTCATAGGCTAATAAGAAATAGACAAATTAGTTACAACTCCTAATTATGGCCAATTACTTTTAAAACCACCCGGTTTTGTAAATGTTAAGCAGTTTTGGTAAAATGACCTCAAACTCCAATTTAGTCACGCTTTTAAAATTGTGAAGAAACACTAACTAAATTATAGAAAGACCTTGTTCATATATGGGGAAGAACCCCTCACATAATTTGGAAAATGTAGTTGGGGGTTGGTATTAAAATGTTGTAGTAAAATGGGGGAAATTAAATGACCTTTTCATCATTATAAGCCGCGGTAATACAGTAACGTATTGCAGTATAATTTAATTTTTCTTCCTTTCCTAATAACTGGAGTCAGTGAACATATTAAATTAGAGAAGCAAACAGTAGTGTAGACTTTAAGGACCACTGCAGCAGTGTGTACTCACATAAAAAGCCCCTGAACAGTAAGGAAAATCCAGCTTCATTCTATATAAACTCCCTGTATAAAGTTTTTGGGAATGTAGGACTCAAGTTGCGGTATTTGAAATGGGTATGGTAGGCCACCACATTTGGATCCGATTCGGTAATAAGTAAAGCTAAACCCAGACAAGAATGTTCCCTTTGTATCAGAGAGGAATGAGCACCGCGTTTTGTGGGAACATTGCTCCAAATGGTAAATCACCTTGACCCGGAGGGTAATACCCCATTTTGTTAACCCTGTAGGATATCTCGTTTAAGATAGTATGGTAACCTTAAAAGTTAAAAGAATACGTGACTCTTATATTTTTAGAAAAACAGTTTTATGTAATTACCTTTGTAACCAAAATTAATTTCCTTTTAGTAGGGTTGAATTGGTAATTCTGGATACGTTGTAACCCATATGTAGGTAATTAAGATTGTTTAGATCGACTATACGATTGATATTGCAATCCGCGTCATTTTTAACTGCATAATAACATTAGTACACTAAACATGTGTACTTTGAGTGTAAAATTTAATAACCAATTAAAACTTATTTTCAAACAAATTACAAATGTCCTATTAGACAAATTTTGTATGCAGATAAATAAATAGGATGAAAAAAACATAAAAAAAATAAAGAAAAATAAATTTTGCACAAAATTTATGTTTTTTTTGCATAAACCGTTAATGACCACCTTTAAGACAAACTATGACACGTTTAGTGACAATTTTAGGTTAGTTTTTTAAAAAAGACCATAAGAACCCCATCTAAACTCCCCGATCTATCGCGTCACTTAACTGGTATTATTCTTGTTAAACGAGGTCCAAAATGTGTACATGAAGCACACGAAACTTTAAAACAACATTATACGTAGAGCATCAATTGGAAATAGTATAATTTGAACACTTAAGACATGTGTTTTACCACGTCAGCCCACATCCAACTTATTCAGTCAAACCCCATGAAGTAAATCCAATATAAATTGGCACTAGCAGGATATGTCCATCACACCAAAATTGAACTACTTATTATTTCTCTCCTCCTTAAAACACCATGCCTAGGCGTAACAACCACCAAAACAACAACTCTTCACCTGTAATTCCCCACTCTTTCGTCAGAAAACGCCGCAGCCATAGACCATCCCCCCGAAAAAGCATAAGGGCATTAGCCATGCTTGCACATGCAGCTACACAATACCCTACACGTACATCACCCTGAAACCTTGGAAGTTCCTCAACAAACCCTAACCAAGAAAATCACAGGGAGGTTATTGAACTAGATGAGGCCCGTCTGTCGCTAAGGCGTTATCCGGATCTGAATCAGACAGGGGAAATTAAATGACCTTTTTATCATTAAGCCGCGGTAATACAGTAACCAAGATTATGCTAAATATGAACGACTGTCTGATTACTCCTATGCGTTTGTTATATTCATTATTTACATTCAAATTTTAGTATTCTAATGAGGATAGTACTTGTATTAGGAATAACGTTAACGTAGCCAGTACTTGGTTATA